TATTATTATATATATATATATATATATATATATATATATATGTTTGTTGTGTGTGTGTGTGTGTGTATAAAAAAAATACATCAAAACCTGATAAGGAACATAAGACTTCCATATAAAAATCAATCACTATAACCGCTGAGCCACTTTGACATCCAATGTTAACAAACATTTATTTAAAATATCTTGGTATTTGTGTTTTCTGAATACTGAAAGAGCTTGCTCTAAACATGAACACTTATCAATAAAAAAACTTATAAAATTCCCGAATGGACTGATATTGGAATACAAGGCTTCCACTTGAGGTTTGGGGGCTCTAACCACTGAGGCAATTTGTTTCATCTATAATTACAGTGGAACCACGTTTTTACATGCTTGCTAAACTGTAAATCTGGTTATAACATGATTACAGCTTCATTCCCATTTTGAGGACTACAATTCTGTACTACAACAATCACATGCTACAGAACATCATGTCCTTTATTACTATTAAAGAAATTTTAATTGTTTCATAAAACAAATTTACACTCATTTATGTGAGAAGACTTTAAGACGATTCTCAGGCAGAAGTCAGCAGGCATGAGACAATGAACTCTCAATGACTTTCTCAAAAAACAAAGTAAACTTCTATGACATTTGACTACATGTACTGTACAATAAAAAGTATTTTATTTTAATGCAATATGTATCATGTGACTTAGTAGTGTTGTAATTTTGAAAACATTTTCTGATTTTTGTGTTTTAATTGGTATTTCATATATTGTATCTACAATAGTGATTGCCTTTAATAATGGTTTGCTAGTTTAGGAATAAATGTTTATGAAAAGTATTTCATGTATGAAGTTACCTACAGTAAGAGTTTGGACTATTGGAGAAATTATTAGTTTTTATTTAAAGCCTAGTGAATATCAACAAAAAAGGGAGAAATTAAAAGTTGGGCAGGATACTGGGTGGGTGAGAAGAAAGGATGGGGAGACAAGGGATTGGAAGTTCCCAATATAAAGCAACCTCACATTTCATTAAATTGCACTTTTTGTACACTAACTATTATATTATAGTAGGGTTCCACTGTACCAAAAATGCCCTGCTGATCAAGAATTCACTATTAAAAAAGCAATCCCATTTATTACTAAGCTGAAAATTGAAATCTAAACTTGTAGGGTAGCTTTAGTTCAAATATCAATTATTATGTTAAAAGCAACACAAGTTTACAAAAATACTCTTTTTACCAATACAATTGTAATTTTCTACATATTTAATTTTATATTTCCTTGTGATTTTTTTAAATTGTATCTAAGATTGAGATCATAATTTCTTTTGAACCACAGTATTTAATAACATAGTCTTCAATAAAATTAATCTTTGGTAATAAAATGTGTTAGCAACATCTTTCTTTGGTTTCAGGGTTCACTTACCAAATGAGTATATAGAGCACAAAGTGGTCTGTTCAAAGGAAAAGCAACACTTCCTGAGGACAGCACAGCAACAGCTGGTTTAGCAACATTCAGAGTAGCTCCATAAGGATATAAGAATGATAATGCTCTATAAAAACAAGATTTCTTTAGAAAGGTATTTCAAAGAAATTTGAGGACGAACTTAGGATAATGTAGGTTTGAGAAATGAATAATGCTTAACCACAACACCAAACCAATAACGTAATATTAAATCTCTCTGAAGTGACAGTTCATTTTATTGACAAAATAAAAAGATATGTTGATTAAGTTTTTCTTTGGCACAATATTTTGTGTGTTGCTGCTGGGAAATAGTTATAAATAGCTTTATTTCATCATTAACTTCTTAAACCCAAGCAGACACAACGGGCTGAAAATCCTGATTTACCCATCAGATAGTGACAGCATCCAATTACATTTATGTCTCTTTGGCAGAAAACTAATCCAAACCACGTTATTACCTACCTTTTTATAAATAGACCAGAAATTTTACAAGGGATGGTGATAATTATTAGGATATCATGAGAATAATTCCTGCAGAACATGCAAAAAATTATGGGTTAAAAGAGTTAAACAGATACATGTAGCAAACAAAAACTGTATTAAAAATTACATGTAACATTTAGAAATTACTGTTTTCTAAATAAGCATATATGTACACACACTGGCATACACACATATTTGTGTACGTGCATGTTTTAAAATACAAAAAAGTTAGTCTGTGTTATATGTCCTAAACTAATTTTTCTTCTAAAATCTGCAAGAACGATCTTAGCAAGTCAGG